CCACCGAGCTCGAAGATCAAGCGACCAGTGGTGGTGGACTTGCCGCTGTCGACATGGCCGCAAATCACGATGGACAGGTGCTGCTTCTCCGAATTGGCCGGCATGGCGCAGTCTTATCCTGTTGCAAAACTCGGCGACCCAGCGGAGCCAAACAAACTCGCAAGTTGAATTCTGCACCAAAACATTCACAAAAACATCGTCACATCCCAGCTTACCCAGCTTCTGGTCATTCACAACTCAACCGCCTCACAATCAAAACGCAAGATTTCGGCAGGCAGGGTGCTTTGTCGAGTTGGAAAAGTTGGTGGCAAAACACGTTCACAGAACAGCTGGTATGTGCCAAGCCTCACAAAAGGTCCCTGCTTTGTCGTCTAAGAACCTGTTGGAGACATGAAAAAACACACATCGCGCTACGTAAAGTTGTTGCGCAATGCACGCGGAGCTGTATGACACAGTTTGCTACAATGGGCGCACCTCTTTTGAGCACCGTTTCTGCTTCGGCGTCCATGCACTCATGTATGCAGGTAAGCATGTATGCAAATATATATATATATATATATACATGTATATGATTGTATATGTAAACCCTAAACCCTAAACCCTAAACTTCCCTCAGCCCTCAACTCAACCGTGGCATGGTCGGCTCGTCGATTCTGAGGCATGGAGCACACACGTCCAACTAGGGCATGTCAAATCCACAAGCGCAGAAACGAAACAAGTCCATCCAAGGTCTCCAGCATCCGCCTGGCGAAGGGTCAAAGTTCGCGGGGGTCGCCAGCAGGCCCACGCCGTTGTGCATGCCACGAATGTGCTGGTACCTCCGGTAAGCGATGTAGGAGCGGGAGCCGGTTATGGCGAAAACACAACCCGGGATATCACAATGCCATGTGCGAGGCTCAGGCTCAGCAGCGCAAGGCAAAGTGTGAAGGGAGTGAGAGGTGCGACCACAGGCAGCAAGGGCAGCTCTACGATCCCGCGCAACACTTCAAGGCCGTCATGGCCGACGCGGAAGACACGCCTCCGCCCGCGATCGTCGACCCGGGACAGACTGTCACCACGTGCTGAGATCGACCACTGAAGACGGGCGAGGAGTGGAAGCACCATAGGCAGAACCTGAAACCATGGAGTCAGGGGTTTAGAGGCAGGCAGCATGTCAAGCCAGGCGCCGGGGGAAGACGCAAGACGGAGGCCCGGCAACAACACAGCCCAGTCGCAACAGAACTTGAACGTGGGACCACCAATGGCAAACTTCATGGTAAAGTAACCTGCCAAGTGCGTGAAGCGAGCACGGGAAGTGCATCCTCGCCTTGATCTTGTCAGTCAGTGCTGAGCCTCGAGAGACCCTTCGGATCCTGTTCGGAAGCAGAGGGAACTCTTATTCTCAACGTCACAGTGGAAGCCAAAGGCAGAGTCAAAGGTCGGCCAAGAGCCAGCAGCCAGAGGACCAGCGTCCAGAGGACTGGGAGCCGCAGCACGGAGCCCGGAGTAGCGTGCGATCATTGTCATCCTGGTAAGCCAACGAGATGACACTGGGAGCGCCGACGACAAGCTGCCAGAGATGCATGACGCGAGCAGCAAGCACCGGGGAAGCCGGACAGCCTTGCACCAGACCGCGAGAAGCAGGCAACCCATTGGTGGCACAGCGGCCTCAAAAGACAAGCAGCCTTCTCTGAACGCAACAGAAGTTGCCAAGAAGACCCAGCATCGCCGGAGGAAGGCACGCAAGGTCAAGTCAAAGAACTTGGCCAAGTCGTTTTGCACACCAGCACGCATGCCCGCCTTCAGACCAATGGGCATCGGCAGCCCACTGCTCGGGAAGCCCGCCCACATCACCAGGAAGCATTCAGCTCTCGACCCAGCAGGCGACAGCCGGCACGCCAGCACACGGCCGGCAGAGCAATGGGCCTGAACCCACCAGTCGCCTTGGGAACCAACACAACCATGTTATCCTTCCAGGTGGTGGGCCGGCACGCAAGGGGACGCCAGAGCAGGATTGAAAAGCTCTGCCACCAGTGTAACGGCAACAGGAGAAGAGCCGAAACCTCAAGACCATGCAGGGCAGGAGCCTCGTGGACCATTCTGCTCATCGAGCGCACGAGGGCGGCAGCACACAAGCTAGGAGCGAAAGCCGCAGGAGCAGCAAATGTTGCGAACCAACCGACGCTGCTGGGCGCGGCATCCATCTTTGAGGCCAGCGGCCCACACGAGCAGCTGTGGGAGCACGACACAACTCTGCACACACTCCTCCTCAACACCAGCGACGTGTTCAAGATCAAGGACTTCCTCGCCGCAAGGAGCGAGACGAGGAAAGGCACACGCAAGATCACGCAGGCAGGTCACGCCTAACACGCGCCATGATCTGGGCACGCCGTTGAGCACGCCGAAGACGACGAAGCAAGCGCCTGGCACGCCGAAGGGGAAAGTGAAGGGGCTCGGAAAGGCCAGCAGCCGTAGAGGGCTCCCAAGGGCGACGCCGCGCAGACCGCTCACGAGGAACGCCACACAAGGCCTGGTCATCAAAACAACCCAGCATCTGCCACCTGCCACCCAGGCATTCAGAAGACGAAAAGCACGCTGCAGCGGAAAGGAGGAACCGATGGCAGAGCGGGCATAGCCACCCATTCACAACAGTAGATTCCAAGCTGCTGCCAGTAGGGCTGAACAGGTGGTTCCAATCCACCTCCTGAAGACATGAGACGTCAATGCCCTGCTGTAACATAAAGTCACGGATAGCGCCAATGGCCACACCACCGCCTTTGCCAACATTCATGGCGCCTATAATCGGAGAAGTCGACTCTACGATGGCCTGCGCAGGTGGCAGGAAGCTGAGTACTCGATTGAAAGCGCTGATCTAAGCAAAGTACACGCCTAGGGCAAAACAGTTCAGAAAGCTCATCTTCAGTGAGGTTGAAGTCATCCACTAAGAACTTGATATCGAAAGCCAATAAGGGCCAATAACGCATCGACGATCCGTGCAAGCCGCCGTGTTGCTTTACGTGCGCTGACCGGAAGCATCGGGGGCTGGCCCAAGCACGCCAACTCTGACGCCAGGGGCCCCCTGCAGGACCCAGCAAGGACGTCCAACCGTTCTTGGTTCAGAAGTCCTGAAAACGAAAAGAAAGAGCACACCGGAAGGTCGAGCTCCTGCACAGCAACGATGCTATGGGAGCAAACAGCCTCGAGAATGCGACGGCACTTCCAGGCTTCATCACGACCGACATTGAGAGCGCCGACACACTCCGTCATTGCTCCAGAAACGCCAGCGCAGGCCAAGCGTTTGGCAACGCCGAGCTGGCGGCGTTGGGCTTTTAACCATGCCTCCCTCTCGCGGGCAAAACCCTAGATGCCTAGAGACGCGGGCACAGAGTAGTAAATCCCACGACAGACTTCGCACTGGAAGGCCATAGGCAGGGTAATGACAGAGCCCTTACAGATCTGCGGCATGTGAAAAGGAACCCAGCGTTCGCAGTCGATCTTGCCGGCCTTCGTGACGCTGGCATTCAAGTTCACAGCCCGTTGTCGGGACCGGTGCGTCGTGTCCTTGGCAACCCGCGCCCTGTGGAGTTCAGTCCGCTGCTGAGAGCTCACTTCCGGATGCTTCGTCGTTCCGCGCTGACGCTTCACCCGACAAGAGCACCACTAGCCTAACCCGCAGCATCTTTGTTCAGGATGCCAGAGGCCACAGGCACCTCCAGGCCGTATCTTGCCGGCTGGAGACCTTCACAATCGGAATGACAGCTCCCCGAACAAGTCCAGGTAAACCCGCTCCACCATGCATCTTGTGGCAGCGCGCATGGCATTGCGACACTGAACGCAAAAGTGCTTACGTCGGCTGCGTGCAACATATGGACACTGCTGACACGGCCATGTGTACCAACCATCAAGGAAGGCGTACTGAGACTGTTGATGGGCAGCAGGCGGGGCAGCTGGCACAGATCCTTCTTCGACCTTAGCATCCTCCAGCAAAGCAGTGGGTGGCCGCCTCTGAATCACGCATCTGGCTGGTCCATTCCGTAGGCCCTATCTGAACCACAGATCTGGCTGGTCCGTTCAGAACCACCAGCACGGACGGGCAGAGCAGGAGGGCCGTCGGCAATCTCGGTCAGACACTTGGGAAGGGGCTTGGACTCGTCAGAAGGAACCAGAAGGTCAAAGTGTGACCCTGTGAATCTGAAGGCGATAGCGTTCTTTTCCTGTTTGTTGTGCACAACAAAGGGAGAAAGCTCCGTGGACAACGGGAATGGGAAGCAAATTGGCCGCATGCCGTACATCCTGGCGAAAGCCTCCATCTCCAAGACTGCCAGCCACTTGCCAGTGTTGGTGATGACGTCCAAGTACTCAGCGAACGACTTGGCCTTCTTGCCGCACTGCTTGATGTATTGCGACTTGTTCCTGCGAAGGTGTGCGACCAGTTCCGCGCGCATTTCCAGGACCGACTTCGTCTTGTCAGATTGATAGATGCGGCGGAGCCCTTGGACAACACAATGCAGAAGACAGTCGTCGTCCTTCGGCATCGGGATCTTGACACATCCGAAAATCTTGCTCCATGGACCTTCTTCGAGGGCTTGAATCTTCCACCCCCAGCTATCGATGATCCGAAGATGTCGCTTAGCCAGCCATCCATGGCAGAATTTCTGCGCGCTCTTCTTCATCTCCAGCCATTCATCGCATTCATGAACTTTTGATGGAACTGCATGTAAAAACAGCCGATTTGACAGGCTCAACCTTTTGCACAGCGCTACTGCCCTCAGGCCCAGGAGGAGTCAAGCCAGTCAAGGTGACCCATCTGAACCCAACATGTCTGAACTCAAGCTTGCCTCCGCGTTAACCAGGGCATCGCTCCTTCTCAACGTCCGCATCCGCCGTGAGAAACAGCACTGCATGCGGCTTCCCTACGCCTTTAAGCCGAGTGGAAGCGACCTCAATCTGCTCAACCTTGGCCGGCACAACAGCACGCACAGTGTCAGTGGCTGCAGCTTTTTCCACAGTGTCAACCAGAGCCTCGTAAGACAAGATTGGTGCATTCCAGTCCTAACTGGTGGAGAGCTGGGACAAGGGGAAGCAGCAAGAGCAGGCTGCACATTCACTACTCTGGGTCTTCAGGGCCTTCGGCTAGGATTGGCAGCAGGCTCTGCGGACGAGAGCAATTGTGACACAAGATCTCCATTCAACTTGCTCAGGTATCTATCTATCCATCTACCTACCTATCTATCTATCATCGATCTATGTATCTATCTATCTATCTATCTATCTATCTATCTACCTATCTATCTGTGTATATATATATATATTATATATGTATACGTTTATGAATGTATAGTATGGAAAAATATAGAATACATCGAATTTATTATGTTTGACCATATATGAACACAGACACACAAACACCAAACAAAAAAGAGGCTTTGCTTTTTCTGTGTCGTCTGGCCTGGCCCAGCATCTCCGGGGGTGAACAGGTGTGGAAGTACGAGCATGCCGCTCAAGGTGAACTGACAGGCCAGCGCTGGCCGTGGTCCGAAGGCGAAGCAAAGAAAAGAGGCCAGCAAGATTGAGAGATCTCCTTAAAGAAATCTCTACTTCTTCTTGCCACCCTTGTCG